CGCGTCCCCGGGCGGCCGGCCACAGCTCCCGTGCACACAGACGGGTCCGGCTCGCGCCCGGCGAGGACGGGACCGGGAGCCGGCCTGCACACATGGCACAGTACGGGCCATTACTGCATAGTACTTTAGTACTTCCAAAAGGAAATACTAAAGCATGGCACCATATGGCCATACGTAGATGCACCCAAGGTGCCTAAATGAGACTGAAGGCCCCTCCGAACTTGCCAGCGCTCCACTTCAGCTCGTTTTTTGACTGTGGAAAAATCACGGAGCCATTCATCTGGGGCAAGCGAAATAGGGTGCCCGTGGTGGGCAGCGAGGCTTTAGTGCCACGGGGAGCGCTAGTGGAAATCCTTGAGTTTCTGCTGTGAAGGGCATGGAGGGGTGCACCTAACAGCACCGTCTCGAAAGACTCTCGGGGCAACCCAGCTAAGAGTCGACCTCCCACGGGCTGCCCCAAACACCCCCGACCTGTGGCCCGCAGCACTTCACCCCCCCCGGGCGGGGGAGGCTGGAGCGCGCCGGGCGCACACCCCCGGCGCAAGCGCAGCAGCACTACGGAAGCGGAAGGCGGCCCTCTTCGGCTGCAGCGAGTCGGGCAAGCTGGAGCGCGCGCTGCTCCGGAGGGGGCTCGCGCCGCCCAACGGTCAGTCCGGTGGGGGGCGCGCGGAGGGAAGGGGGAGGCGGGACTCGGGGTGGTGGGGCGTGATTTCACCCGGACTGCGCGGTGATTGCGTCCTGCGCGAGGCTGGAATCGGCGCAGCCTCTGCTGGGGGCGGGGGGACGTCGTCCTACCGCAGGACGTGACCATGGGGGGGCATGCGCACACGGAGGCACCTGGCCGGGCGGGGGGTGAGGCTGGGTCCCTGGTCCCGCCCTGGGCCAGGGCAAGAGGGATGTCGGTGCTAAGGGCGTGGAGCGGGGATCTGCGCCTGCTCCGCGGTGGGTCTCGCCGCGCGTCAGTCGGCTGCCGCTCTCCGGATTCAGCTGCGACCGGACCCACTTGGGTACAGTGCGGCGCCGCCGCCCCTCTCGCATGTTTACTCAGCCCACGGGCCTGTCCTGCTCTGTCCGGGGCCCGATCCAGCCCCCGGGGCACAGCCTGGCCCTGGCCTAGCGACGTGGGGGAGGGGGTGTGGCCCAGCTCCATTCCGGTGTTTGGGAATTTGGCAGTGGGGGAGGGGCGCCATTGTTAATTGCCTCTTTTTCCCGGGGCTCTGCAGGGTGGTGCAGCCCACGGGCCGGGAGTTGCTCACCCCCTGTTGAGAATGTAGCCTCTTGGAAACGCAGCACGTTTTTCTCTGAGCACGTGTAGCATGGGACTGAATAGCGCACTGGCTTCATGTGGGCTGGGAAGCATGGGTGTAAACTGGTGCGGATGAACAGGATGGTTTTGATTGTTATAATTGTGTATTTGCTTTAAATCTTTCCCTGTGCTTTGCAAAGCAGTGGTCCCCTTGTGTGGCGACATGCTCCTATTCAAACTCACACACTGAAACACACTCAAACTCATACTTAATTTGGCCCCTTGACCTTCATGCCATTGACATCAGTGAGGACTGTTCACTCTGTGAAGGTGAAGCTTGACAGGATCTCAGACAGTGTCAAACTGGTGACATATTGGTGCGCCAGCCATACTTCTGTAGTTTGCCGACAGCCTGGGAAGTTACCTCTTCGAAGGGGGATCAGGAAACTTTTGCAGTAGGGATTATGTCCGACTTTCTTCAAGATGTTCCATAGGAATTCTGTTGTTCACTTGTTAAGTCAAGTATTTATTTTTTAATAAGCCTACATCAGTATTTCTGATTTACAATCTATAAAGAGCTTCCCCCCCCCCCCCCCCACCCACTTCTTCT